ACTTGTTGTCGGCCTGAAGGATGCCATGAACATTGGAAGGCTAGAAAGCGTTTTCCTTGCAAAGTTTGTAGTAAACCAACTAGCTCTAAACCTGGCCTTTGTAGAAAGCATGCTAATGGATATTATGTAACTCAGTATATTAATAGACTTCGGGAAAAGGCTCACTCTAATATATATAAATGACGATGTGATCAAATTTTTATCGTCTTCTAGCTATATAAAATTTTTCACCAAGCTATAGTATATAAAAGTGCTATAAAATATAGCAGGATGACGATTAAAATGATTTTTAAACATCATTCATATAGAGGTGTGAAAAAAGTGTCCCAGAACTCTTCTTTTTGCTCTACTAAAGTTTGTGTAGTCTTTAAGTGTCGCGCACTATATTCACATGAGAAATCCTGTTTGTACGTACGTACATTGTGAAGTATAAATTACCTCCGAATTACTGCGGTTTCCGACATAGTACAAATTCTGAAAATTCTAAGAATTTGTGAATCCCAAAAATTCACAAAATAGTTACGTAGTATTATTAGGATTCTTAAAATAGCTATTATTATATTAATCATTGTAATTCCAGGAATCTCTAGTAAAATAATAATATCAGTAATTGTAAGAATAATTAGAATAGTTAGAATTACTGTAATCATTAGAATTCTTGTGATTATATTATGTAAAGAAAGTATTTATATCGTGAGACTCTTCCCTGAATAAAAATACTCAGTGAGTTCAAAACGTATTTTCTGAATAATGATAACTTTGGAGTTCCAAAACCTTTGAAATTAGAGTAGAAGTGTTTGGCTCTACTAACCCCTGATAAATAAAATCCGTATTAACGAAAGGGATAAGTGATCAAATCTCGTGATTCTGCATATAGAGATTCGTGACGTAATCCAGAGCTCTAATCCAACACTATTACTAAGAACCCAATTCACTCTGGTTACTCAGACCAAGTCTTTTCACGTCTCGATCTATTAGTTGTGGTGTTCTGGTTAGAGTAGTTTAGTTAGTTTTAGTAGTGTATAGTTGTATTATTTAGACCAAGTATATAAATCGCACTTTTATAACGTACATATGTAGTAATAGATTTTTAACAATTATGTATTATCATTACAATAATTTAACTCCTGCATAATATAATGATTTGTGTAAAAAGGTCTATATTATAGAATCATATTTTATTGTAAAGATGTGTTAATATCGATATTATTACAGTAGAACGTAATTCAATGATATTGAGTAGCTCAGATATTAAAATAGTTATCACTGTAACAATTAGATTTTTTTAATATTAAATTTTTCAATAAAAATGCAAATTCGCATTTTTTTTTGAAACTTGAAAGTTGTAAATCAAATAAACCCAATAAAAAATAGATGAGTTCTTGCATGATAAAAGATCTTTGCATAAAGATGAAGATTTCTTAGCATCCAATTCGCATGACGATACTTTTGCAACAGCAGAATCTGATCCACAACCACAACCAAAAAAAGCTAGAAAAGGTGGACCTAGCTTTAACGAAGTTTGGGATTATGTTATTAAGAGTATACAAGTAAATCTAGAGCACTATGAAGCTATATGTCCTCATTGTGATAAACGCTGGCCAAGAGGAAAACCATGTATTTTAAAAGGTCATCTCGCAATTCATTGCCCCAAAATACCTGGAGATATTCAAAAATACTGGTGTAATAAACTTGCTGAGGAAAACAATACTTATATGAGAAATTCTAAATCAAATCCAAATATATCTTTACAAATTAATAACTATTATGATGATCTTCTTCTAAAAGCCTGGATGATGGCCAATATCCCATTTGAAGTGATTGAAAATCCATTTATTAGAAGTTTATTTAAAGCTTACAATCCTGCTTATACATTACCATCATGTACTACACTCTCTGGGCAACTATTAGATAAAGAGTTTTCACGTGTACAAAATACTATCAATAATGAATTAGAAAATGCAGAGAATCTGATCTTAAGTAAATACATACTTTTATATAATACAAATTTAATTGTTCGAGTGTCTAAACTTATACAATTTTGAGATTTTTCATTGTTTAAACAATAAAAAATCTCACTATCTGTTATACATATATACTTACTTCATTCCGATTTAGATTTATAATAATTCTAAATAAGAATTTTGCAATTTTAGCACAAACTCTAAAACGAACTAATTTATTTTTTTTAAAATTATATAGTTCTTGACGGATGAACATCAAAACACGGAGACTCTATATATAGTTACATTGTAACAACAATGGAGCGAAGAGAATATTTAATTGCAGTAAAAAATTATTCTTTAGACTTACATACAGGTGACTTTTTGGCTTCTGAAATTTTAGATATTATCAAACAAATTGAACAGAAAAAATTTTCAGCAATAGTCATGGATTCAGCTTCGAATTGTAAACTCGCAAGAAAAAAAATACAACAAAAATATCCATATATTCTGAATATCCGCTATATTGCTCACGCCATCAATTTGATAGCTGTAGACTTGTCAAAACTTGCTGAAATCAAAGAATTTATTAGCAAATGTGGAAGATTAATAAAATTTTTTAATAAATCTTCTCAAAAACTAGCATTACTATGACAAGGTTTAACAAATATGAAAATTAAATCTGAGAGCTTAGAATCATGGTGCCCAACTCGTTGGGGATTATTATATAATACTACGAATTCAATATTAATTGCACGACTGGTATTCAACTGGGTATGTCTAAAAAATATATATATTTTTATATTGCTTATCAGTACATATTAATAATATATTATATAATTATATTTAGATATTACTTGAGCATCCAACTATAGTTAATGATGCAGAAATTTTTGCATTATTACAAGATGATAACTTCTTTACCAAATGTCGACAAATCCGTTCTATTTGGAAACCAATAAAAACTTGTTTGAATGTTTTGAAAAGTCATTTAGCATCATTGGCCGATTGCTTTATTTATATGATTAAATTAGCAATCGCGATCTATCAAATTCCCATATCAATTTCATTTAAACCTGTTATAATTCAAGTATTCAACAAACGTTATGAAGAATTTCAGAATCCGTATTATTTACTATGTTACTACCTTCACCCTTTATATTGTGGTACATATTTTTTTAAGTATCAACTAGATGTTAAACCTGGTACTAAATGCAGAGACCCATTATTTAATGCATAAGTATTTCGCAAATATGTAATATCTAATTCCCGTGCAGAAACCTAATTTTTTTAATTTAGTTTTTTTTTTTTTTTTTAGGAACTGGATTTAAGAATGAAGCATTTCGTGATGCAGCCATAACTGCCTCAACTTTATGGAAAAGTTTGATGCATTCTGAACAAGAGTGCAAAGAATTAATTTCGCAATTTCGGTATTATGACGCAAAAAAAAAACCATATGATTTACCGTATATCCAAGGTCTTGATACTCCAATGTTATGGTGGGGATCTTTGAGAAACCAACTGTGTCAACTTTCAGAACTTGCGCTAAAGCTTTTTGGTGTCTTACCATCCCAAGCTGGCTGCGAACGCAATTTTTCTATTCTTAAATGGTTTATTGGAGATAAGCGTCTACGTCTTGATGTTAAACGGCTTGAAGAAATTGCAAAAATAAGATCTTATTATGTAACAAATGTACGGAAGGAACTTGCGCATTTTGAGGTTGAATTATCTGAATTTGAACTACGCAATATGATAACTCTTACGTCAATAAATAGTTTTATAGAAGATGAGGAAGAAGCAATTGAAAATACTAATACATTTGATAGTGATCAAAATTTTTTATCCCATACTAACCTAATCTTAGAAAATATCGTAAATTTAAAAGATCCTATCTTCCAAGACAGAGATATTATTCCACATGAAATTTCCAATGATAATCCAGACCATAATATTGAAACCAATGTTAATATGGATTTTAACCCTGAAAATCTCGTTGATACTATTTTGAATGATGAATTGGACTTTTAGGTATAATGAATATTTTTGATACTTCAGCATATTCGAATTTTAATTGCCTCTAATAAAATTGTTTTTTTATAAGCAGCGGGTATAAAGAATCACTTGCAGACATAGTTGCTGAAATTTTTTAGGAAGTCGTAGAGTCACAATACAAATACTCATTATTTACAATGCTACAAAATTCCCTAAGCATTCCACAATTAAACATATATCCTCCTTTATCTGGAATTTTTTTGACACCTTTTGATATATTCAGAAGCCATCCAGCAAAACATTAAAATTCAAAGAATTATTCACAGATTAAATATAAAATGTATTTGCATTAAAGCATTATGTTTTTACTAGACTTTAAAATCCCGGCATTTTCTTCTCTTTTGGGTTTGAAACCCTTTGTGTATATTATTGAAATCTGTTACTACTTGATCATTGATTAATTTTTTCTACGAAAAATACAAATTCTCCGTATAAAAAATTTCTCTGCACATATAAAAAAATTTGAATTTGCTACATTATTGAAGTTAACTCCTGTGTTGTTAAATAATTAGGCCTTGATCAGCGCACATGTAATTTCTGGATCTGGTCTCCTTATTGTATTCTAGATTATTCAATCGATGTATATTCACATGAATCCAGTGGATAAATAGAAATATATTCTTTTAACCTAGGAAAATTTATGTACGTATCATATAAATGCTCTTTTATTTGAGGAATAAAATTATTGAATTAATGCAGTTGTAATAAATATTCAAGTTTGTAACATTTATCTTTATATATTCGCATTAATATAGTGGTGTGTATAAAGATTACTTGTTAAATATAAAGCTTCGAATCACAAGTTCTTGTCGTAGCATGAATATAGATTTTTGTCAAATGTTACGAATAATGGTAAATCAAACATTACGAGATAAGTAAAAATGTTGCGGCATAAGTCAGATATTACAGCATAAGTTAGATGTTACGGCATAAGTCAGATGTTACTACCTAAGTCAAACGTTACGGCATAAGTCAGATGTTACTACCTAAGTCAAACGTTACTCATTGAGTTACGTCCAATTGACATTATAACTTCACCATAAGTCTGCATCTATACTGTCAAGTCAAATTACACGAATTTCTATCGCGTTTACAGTACTAAGACCATTTGAAAAATAATGTTCCGCAAAAATTATATATTAAGCACTTTTACTGCGTCTCGTTCGCGTAAGCTATCTAGTGCTCTTCGAAATCATAACAATATGGACAATATGGACCATTTACGTCCATATCAAAGAGAATGTATCGAAAAATGTTTATATAAGTTTCTCAAAGAAAAGATAAACCGTCAAATTGTGTCATTACCTGTAGGTACGATGCATAATTTTTACGTAAAAACAAATGAGTATGTTACTGGTTTCAATGGAGTTTAGATTCAAATATCATTTTGTCCTTTAGGAAGTGGTAAAACGGTAATACATATGAAAATGCGCTTCGAATAACAGATAAACCGTTAATACTCGCAAAAGATTGACCTGCTTATTGTACATAGGTCATATTTTCTAATTTAATTCGTCGAATCCCGTCTCCTATGCAAGGAGCAGAAAAAATACTTGTACTTGCTCATAGAGAAGAACTTCTTGATCAGGCATATAGACAAATTAAAAAATACTCGAATTTGGTAAAGATTTCCGAGCGCGTATTTACTTTGATGAGTTAAATTTGATGAATTTATTTACTAATAATACCATAGAGTGCTGAAATAGATCAAGGAAAAAGAACTGCAACTGGAAATACAGATGTTATTATTGGAAGTGTTCAAACACTAGGAAAGACAGGATCATCTCGTATCGAAAAATATGATCCATCCCATTTTAAAGCAATCATAATTGATGAGGTAATTGTCTTCATTGTTTTTTCTTATTTTAATTTTTCTTACGGTGTTTCAATGCTTCATTTACAACAGGCTCATCATGCCGCAGCATCAACTTATCGTAAAATTTTAGAATATTTTGGCGCGCACACGAAAAATACTCACATATTTGTTTGGGGGTGTTCGGCAACAGTTCGGAGATATGATGGACTGGCTCTTGATGGCATTTTTGATGAGATTACTTATCACAAAGACTTCTTAGAGATGATCGAGGAAAAATGGTACATTACATATATAATGTAGTTTTCTATTCGATCGTTTATATTGACTATAGATTGTATGTATAAAATGTTTAGGTTGTGCAATCTTCGAGTAACAACAATCAGGACAGGAACTGATTTGTCTCGAGTAAAAAGTAACACTATTGATTTCATACCAACAATTCTTTCCCAATTGATTAATGTTAAAAATCGTAATGAAATTATAGTACGAACATACCTTAAACTGGCTGGTAATTTTTACGACATTCCGATTTATGATACAGAATAACAATATCGTCTTATAAT